CTTTCTACTTTCTCTCTGCCTATACACCAATCTCAAATTGCTTCTTTTGTATGTGTGGGAAGTATGTAACTTAATATAATTTTTTTTCATCTTGTGACGAAGCTTATTTCTTTGCATTCTCAGTGCTTATTTACAATCCTTCCCAACCAAAGGTTGTATATCACAATCATCTATGGAACTTCTAAAAAAGACAAAGCCCTTGACCCTCCCCCTGAAGAATTCTTCAGCAAGTCTGGGATGGAAACTGAACATCTTTACATCTAAAAAGCCCCAGTGGTGATTCTCATGCACACTCTAAGCTGAGAACCACTGATTTATTACAATGCTCTTTATACTACAGGCATTAATGCTTATTAATTCATGGCATGGAAGCTCATAAATAACTTTTCTCTAAATAGCCTAACCAGATATCAACCCCTTGACTACACTAACTCTGTTCCAAGTGCAACATGTGGTTTTAAGATTTCATTTCCTGAAGTACTACATGGAAGGACACTATTACCTTGTCTCTTTACATTGTTTCCCATTTGTTGAAAAATGGAGGTCTGGAATGCAGCCATGTTAGACAACACTACATAAGAATGCACTCTGGAGCCTTAGATTAAAATTAGTTACAAAGAGAACAATGTAGAACTAGACATTTTGAATAAATACAGTATTCTTCTTTAAAAGATTCTTACTAAATTTTTTTGAATTTGTTTTTTAGTTGTAGATGGACACAATACCTTCATTTTATTTATTTATATGTGGTGCTGAGGTTAGAACTCAGGACTTCACACATGCGAGGCCACCTCTCTAGCGGGGAGCCACAACCCCCCCTACCCCCGCCTTAATAAATCTTTATAGACAAAAGATCAGAATTTTGGTCTATGATATGTCCCTGTCTTCCTAGCTACCAGTCTTCTGAACTGCTGGAGGCAGTCCAAGGCCACTGAAGATGGAGGAAAACTTTCAGCTGCTAAAATGCCTTTAAGTGCAGTAAAGTAGCTAATCAGATAACCCAAGCCCCACCCAGACACAGTTACCTCCCAACCTTCCGACTACCCTGACACACGCTATTTACCAGCTCAGTGAGGGAGCAGTAAAAACTTTTTCCAGAGTTGTTCCTCACAGACGGGAGCAGTCTGAGTCACCCAACCAGTGTGGGGCACAAAGTGTGACATTAGTCAGGGGAGTGTTAAGATACTGGGCTCAGGACCTTTTGTCCCATTTCAGAAGCGAACTTCATCTCCTCCAGAAATCACCTCTGTTATTAATCACCTGTTATTAGACTCTATAGGTTACAGGGGTCTGCTGAGCCACTAGCCTCGAGAAAAGTGTGGACCTGGGAAGGGATGCCCCAGCCTTCTCCTGGGTAGGGGCCCGCGGATGCCGGATTCCACAGGCCTCACCCAGCAGCTCCATCTTGCTTCCTGGCAGAAGGAGGGGCCGAGGAGGAGGGCCCAAGAGTCTGGAAAGGCCCCATCGGGAGGAAGCCGTTTGACAGCAGGTAAAGCCAGGTGGACATCTCCACAGGCGGGAACAAAATAAAAGGCTGCAGGGGTGAGGAAGAGGCGAAATGGGCTCCTGGTCGTGAATTACTGCATAAAGGTGTTAGAATGCCTGAGGTGTGAGAAGTACAATGCCCCGGGGTGAAGGAGGCCACCGCAGGAAGACGAAGGGTCAGTTTAGACGAGTGGAAAACAGGATCAGATACAGGGAGCCCTGTTGAGGGGTGGGTGACTGAAGCAAGTCTCAGAGCGGCGGAAAAATTCGTTAGAAAGGAGAGCAGTGTGGCTCAAATATGAATCCCTGGAAGGAAAGGCAGGGAATCAGTAAGAGAACCCGCCCCCCCACCACCACCCACAAGCCAGATTGGGGAGGCCTAAAAAGGAACTGGGAGCAAGGTAGTCAACGTGCGGACCGCCTGTACAAGGGAAGTGGCCACCAGATAGACTCACAACTATCATTTACTATTGACATATGCCACTCTAGGCACTTTACAAATAATACCTCGTTGAATCTTACCATACCCGCAAGACAAGCTTTACTGTGACTGCCCCCATTTTATGGATGAGGAAACTGAGGCCCCGGAGGCTCAGGAGCTTGCTCAAGGTCACAGAGTGGGGAAATCAGCATTAGAACCCACGGTATCTGGCATAAGAGTCCACGCGCAAAGCCACAGGCAGCCCACCCGAGAAACGAAGCCGCGAAGAGGACCAGGACTCCAGGGACATCTCCCGCACCGACTCCCGTCCCTGGCCCAGCAAGCTCACCCGGACGAGGTTGCTGACGGCCGCTTGCACGGCGGCCACGGGCGCGGTGAGGTCAGGGATGGCTTTGCCGTCCACCTCGCCCTCCTCGTGCATAATCACCAGGTGCGAGATCTGCTGCGCCACCGGCTCCAGAATGCTCTCAATCGTGCGTGTATGAAACACCGGCATCGTGGCGGCTTGCGGGGCGGCTAACCGCGGGCCACAGGGAACTGGGATCAGAGGGGCCGGGAGCCGGCGGAGAGACTGAGTAGGAGCAGCGACTAGAGTCCGGGCTTCCCTTGGCGTAACCAGCCTCACGGGCGCCCCGCCCCCTCACGTCGCCGCACCCAATGGCTGAGCAGCTCGGGCCCAGGCCATTAGTCCTATTGGCCCCTCTTCAAGATACTCCACCCTCACCACCGCGCCGCCAAACTCCCGCCCCGCCCCCATTCCCAAGGGAGGGGCCTGGAATGGGGCTGCGCTTCAGGGACTGCGACCGGATTCCCGAGCCCTAACGCGGGGCGCTCCTTATAAGGGCATGGTGGGAGCGGAGCGTGCGGCTGGAGTCTGATGGTCCCGCCCTCCGGGGACGCCTCCCGCCTCGGATCTGCAGAGCTCCGCCCCTCTGCAGAATCACCTCAGCGGGGCGGGGTCTTCTCACCTCGGGCGGCGCTAGAGTCTGATTAAACTCGGGGCCGTAGGTCTCCCCGCCCCCTCCTCAACTTTTAACCAGAGACCGTCAGAATATCCTCCATTCCCTCTCAGTAATACACAGAAACGTAAAAGATTCAAACAACAGGAAATGCACCGAGAAACGTGAGTGTCCCGTTGATTTATACACACTCCACCCACTGGCCTCGAGATATTCCCAGTTAACAATTTGGTGTGTAACCTTCGACACCTTTGTGCATTTACGCGCGTGTTTGTATTTTCTAAGTACACGAGATTAAACATTTTCCTAGAACGAGCTATTTTTCCCGCCTTAATTAAAATTCCCGGGTTATCTTTTACAGTTATTAGAAGTCTACCTCATTCTTTTGAAGGACTGCATTCCGTTGTATAAAATAAAACGATTTATGTAACAAATTTCCTAGTGATGGACTCAGGTTCTAGTTTTCACCGTTAAAAAACAAACCTGAGACCAGGAGTGGTGGCACGCACCTATGGTCCCAGCACATGTGAGGCCGAGGTGAGAGAACCACTTGAAAAATGATCTGCTTGGACGTCATTGTGCTTTGCCTCTGTATTGTTCACCTTTGTACTTATTGAGGACAGATGTCTTCAAAGTAAAGGGAAAATACAAAAGAGTGTACATTTTACTTGTTGATAGGTAAGAACACATTACCCAATCCCCTCACAGCCTGTTTTGTTTACGACATCTTTTGTGTGTCTTCCTAACCTCAAATTCTCCTTTGCCCAAGCTTCCCCATTCTGAGGGGAAACGCTTTCATAAAAACCTCCACATAAAAGAGGCTCAAATCAAATGAAAATAGCTTCTCAAGGGACCACATTTCACAAGAGGCTGAAGTATACCTTGTCCTACCCAATTTTTAAAGCTATTTTTGTCTAGTAGTATAATGCCCTCTGTTTCTAATGTGCTTATTGTCAAATCCTGAACAGTTTCTTTTTGGGGGTGGGTATTTACTGGACGTAGAATCCTGGGGTGCTTTACCACAGAGCTACATCTCCAGCGGCAACCCCTCCCCCTCCCCCTTTTTTTTTTAGTTTTGAGACAGGGTCCTATTAAGTTGCTTCTGACCTCACTAAGTTGCTGATGCTGACCTTAAACTTGGAATCCTCTTAAGTCAGCCTCCCTAGTGGCTGGAACTACAGGTATGTCCACCACACCTGGCCTAAACTCTTCCTTCTTATATGTTTTTTTTTGAGGGAAGGTGGGGACTACACTGGGAATTGAATTTAGAGTCTTGGGCATCCTAAGAAAGCACTTTACTACTAAGCTATATTCCCAGCCATTTTTGTTTTAATTTGAGACAGGGTCTGGCTAAATTGCCCAGGCTGACCTTGAATTTACAATCCTTCTGCCTCAGCCTCCCAAGTGGCTGAGATTACAGGTGTGCACCACCACACCCTTCTGATATCTTCACATTGTTATTACTGTTTCCCAATCTTTATAGTCAGTGAACTTCTGTATCAATTTTAAGATAATAATTATTTGGTACATTCAAAGTGGGCATAATTCCTTACTTAAATTCAGATGTATGCAGCATTTATCATTTTATTCCCCCATTTTATAGATGAGAAAAAAGTTTTGGAATTTGTCTTGCATTACACATAGGGACAGCTACTAAATTTGTGGGGCCCATTACAAAATGAAAATGTGGGATACTGCAATGTGAAAGCTTTTTCCTTCCTTTGGTGGTTTCTCAACTTATACTTCTATTTTTTATGTGCTATTTAATGTTGCACTCCCCGGGCAAGGGAAACCTTTGGGATAAATAGAGACCCTCACAGGAACTTGGGCCTATGCAGCCCACTGGGTCCCAGGATCTTCCTCTTGCTAACTGATGGACTGATTCTCTCTTCCCCAGTTAGGGGAAAGGAAGCCAAACCAGGCATCTCCCTTTCCCATAGGCCTGCATCTCCAATTATAGCAGAAAGGCTGGTATTACAGCCTTTCCTGAGACTGAATAACTTTCTCCCACTGAGTCAGCCATCGGAATGCTCTTGCATTGTAGCTCCAATTGAGAATGGCTACCTTAGTATCTCATCTCTAGACACTGTAGGGAGCACACATTGAACCCTGACCAAGGTGGAGTAGGAAACTGTAATCACTGGGCAAGAGTAGGGAGAGGGAGGCTGGGCAGGGTCAGATGGACAGACGATTGGGAGAAGGTATCTGAAATCCCATCCAAAGCAGGTGACAGAAAGTAGGTCCTTGCATAAACTGAGGCTTCAAGTCCCAGGGCATGCTCCATTGTCCCATTAGACTTTCTTCCTATAATGCAAACTGAAAGATAAAATTAATTAGAATTAGGACAGCAACCACAATGTGTGAAGTCCTTCTGAGTGAAGAGCCCTTCCATCAACACTGATTGCATGCCCATGAGCCAGGCTATGCTGGTAACCTAGGTCTGATAATGACTGACTTTAAATAAACAGCTCCTTTTGAACTTCCTTTCCCTATGGAAATTCTTATGAAAACTAATAAAACTTTTTAGTCTCTACCATAGCTAGCAAAGCTATTTTATCTGCCCATTGTTTTGTATTGCTAATAGTAATATCTTGGTGATAGAACTATGTGTGATTGTTTTCCTGTAATTTCCACTCTGTTCCCACTTCGTTAGTTGTATGGTTATGAGCTTTTTAGCATGTTCTTCCATCTGATGTATTTCCTAAAAATTGTCAACAAGATTCAGTACTAGTACTAGTCTTTTAACTGTATCATCCTTGACTCCAATCTTGTAATCCAGGCTGCTCATTACTGGCCATATTAACCTACCAAAGATACCATTCTTCACAATCCTCCATCCATATCCTTGTGCTCTTCTCCATCTATATCCATTTCTATTCCTCTCTTTCCCCCACATTCACACACACTCTAAAATCTTTCTTGATACCTGTTAACATATGTTAATGTAAATGCCCTCCACAATCTGGGCCCAGACCAACCTTATTACATTCTGCTTCACAGCCCAGATCCACAGATAGGTGAGTTAAACAACATAATGTGCACAAACTCAGAGTCAGCCAGTATTCAAACTGTAATCCCAGCTTTATAATTAGATTGAGATTTAAATCTGGCAAGTAGCTTTTCTTCACTCTACTAAAATTTCTTTCTTTGTAAAAGTAGGATAATACCACCTTTTTTTTTTGTTTTGTTTTGTTTTTGTTTTCTTTGTTTAGTGGTGCTGGAGATTGAACCCAAGGCCTTGCACATACTAGGCAAACATTAGACAACTGAGCTCTACCCACCCCAGTCCATAATAGAGATGATCTTAAGGATCAGTGAATGAATTTATGTAAAGCACTCAGGAGACCTTCAGTAAAAGGAGCCATTGTTGTTATTGACACAATCACAAATGACATATTCACAGTCTCCAAAAGCCCCTGGTGAAGTTTCACTTTTGAGTTTTTGTCCTTTCCTACCCAGACAGCTTTCTAAGTTTATAGAAGTTTTACCCATTGTGGTCAGTAAAAATTCTAAGATGTCCTTGAAGATTTCTGAGCCCTGGTGTATACACTGTGAATATAATACATTTTACTACTGTGATTAGTAGCACATTTGGCCTTAAAATAGGAAAATTACCCAGATAGGCTTGACCTAATCACATGAGCCTTTTATTATTATTATTATTATTAAAGTGGTGCTAAGGATCAAACCCAGTGCCTTACATGTGCTAGGCAAGTGCTCTACCACTGAGCTACAAGTCCAGTCCCTCACGTGAGCCTTTTAAAACAGAGTTCTCTCTAGCTGGTTACAGAGAGTATGCACTGTTCAAATTCCTAGCTTGAGAAGATCACCCAAAGATTGTGTAGTGCTCAAATTCCAAGCAGGAGGAGATCATGATGGGCCTGAGGATAAGAAAGAGTCAATAGGGCAATGGAACTAAATCTGCCCTCAAAGGAAGAATAATGTTTGGTTAGGCAGGCAAGAGGGCAGACATTCCAGAATGAGCAAGCCTGGAGATGGCTGCATGTTCCAGTTCGATGGAATAAACTGGCCAGACTGAAGTGAATGTTCATGCAACTCAAAGATAAAGATGAAAAAGTAAATTTCCACAAGATTAAAACCTATGGTGGGGGGGCTTAGGTAGTGGCTCAGTGGTAGAGCATTCGCCTAGCACGTTCAAGGCCGTGGGTTCGATCCTCAGCACCACATTAAAAAATAAATAAACAAAACATGTGCCAAAAAAAAAAAAAAAACTATAGTGGTTAAGGACTATGTGGCATTTACTCTTGTTGTGACTAGCTAAACATTACTCTTGGCCATATAATTAGTTTGAAGACTAGTAGTAATAAGGAACATTTTAAATACATAAAAATTTAGCATTCTGTTATAAATAATTATGGAAGGATTTTTTTAAAAAAAATTTTTTGTAGTTGAAGATGGACAGAATGCCTTTATTTTATTTGTTCATTTTCATGTGGTATTAAGGATTCCATCCAGTGCCTCACACATACTATGAAAGTGCTCTGCCACTGAGGTACAGCACCAGCCCACGGAAGGATTTTTGATGGTGGCAATTATATTACACACTATTCTATGGTATGGAAACTTCTGATTCTTTGAGGTCCATAGGAATTCTGAGGTAGTTGGAAATAAGTACAGCTCTCTTTGAATAGAGACTGGGAAATTGAGACATAGTAACTGTCAGTTGTGAGTACAATTTGTGGAAATCTAAGTCAAGAATAGAGCAGAATATAAAACCTGAGTCTTCTGTATTTAATTGGGATGCTCATTTTATCTCCAGGTTTTTGTGCATTCCTCCTGATTAACTTTTGGACTTCTGTGTATCAGTTATGTATCTAAGGATTTACTAAGCTATACTGAGTATAGCTCAGTATAGATAGCTCTTCCCAATATACTCCAATTCAGTTTGTGCCCACGTGAGTGAACTTACAACTTACACATAGAAAAACACACACATACAACTTACACACACACACACACAAACACACATACACACTTCATTCCCCAGCTTACCTCAAATGTATCTTTTCTCTCTAGACCACCTCACCAGCCCTTTCCCCACACATCCCCACATGAGAACCACATAGTGGCTTAGTTAGTGACTCTTCCTTCCCTTCTGCAAATGCTGACACGTACACCACACCCCACTTCCACCCCCACCCCAAACCACAACCACTTCCCCCATCACTTAACACACTGTCATTCTTTTCTTTTCTTGACCAATTTTTAAAAATTCAATGTGGATTGATGGCATTTTCAATTTTGCATATTTTCCAATTTTCACATTTTTTAATTGCACTTCATTCTTCGATATTGTGTGAGAAAACTACAAAGAAGGATATTAAATTATGAAAAATTCCAGTTGTTAAAGATAACTATTATTAACATTTTAATATATTCTTTTAGCCTTACTCTATTCATATATATTTTTATGTGTGTGTTTGATTTTTTCTCATACAAAATTTTTACTGAGATCATTTATATACCATAAAACTCACCCCTTTTATAAATGTTCAATTTTTATTCCTGCTATTTTCGCCTTACCATTATTATATTAAGAACATATATCCTTGGGCTAGGGTTATAGATCAGTGGTGGAGTACTTGCCTCACACAGGTGAGCACCGGGTTCAATCCTTAGTACCACATAAAAATAAATAAATAAAGGTATTATGTCCACCTACAACTAAAAATATTTTTTTAAAAAGCATATGTCTTTGACATTGAGTATTCTTCAAAAATTTGATTTTTCTTTCCAGATATGGTAGTGTATGCCTGCAGTCCCTATAACTCAGGAGGCTGAGACAGCAGAATCACAAGTTTGAAGCCAGCCTCAGCAACTTAGCAAAACCCAGTCTCAAAATGAAACATTAAAAAGGGCTGAGAGCATATCTCAGTGATAAAGTGTTGGGGGGTTCAATCCCCAGTACCAAAATATATGTATATTTATAACATTCAAACTGTACAAGACCATAATTTATTTGACTTATCTCCCTATTATTTGACATTTAGGTGTATCTAATCTTTTATTAGTGTAAGTAATTCTTTAAAATGTCTTTGAGATTTAATACAAGTGCAATGGCACACACCTGTAATTCCAGCAACTGGGGAGGCTGAGGTAGGAGAATCATAAATTTAAGGCCAGCCTCAGCAATTTAGCCAGACCCTCAACAACTTAGAGAGACCATATCTCAGAATAAAAAATAAGAAGGGACTGTTGAAGCAGCTGGAGTTAATCCTCAGTACATGCGCACGCGCAAACACACGTGTGTGTGTGTGTATGTATGTGTATGTGTATAGATACATATGTACACACACATATATAAATTCAAATATATATTCAATGCCTATAAGTATAAAAACTCAAAAAAATTCAAAGATATCTTTGATATAGGCATCAAATTGTTGTTTTAAAACATTTATTATTATGAGAACTGAAAACACCATTGGTTACCTACCCAGTATTCATTTTCTTCTTTACCCTATTCAGTAGTGTATAGAGTTGTATTAGTTATCTGTTGCTACATATATATCACTCCAAAATAATAATCCTTTATAGCTTTCAAGTTTTCTGTAGCTCAAGAATTTGGAAGTGACTTAGCTAGTATGTTCCAACTTAGAGTCTCTCATGAGGTTGTAGTGAGATGGTATCTACAGCTAGAGACATCTCCAGTGGTTTTTTACTCACATGTCTAATACCTGGACAGGGATGAGTTGAAAAGCTGGGAGTCTTGAACAGATGGAGCCTTTCAAGAATCTCTATTTCTTTCTTTCTTTTTGGTCCTAGGGATGCTTTTTGAACCCAGGGGTGCTTAACCTCTGAGCAACATCGCCAGCCCTTTTATACATTTTATTTAGAGACAGGGCCTTACTAAGTTGCTTAGGGCTTCCCTAAGTTGCTGAGGCTGGCTTTGAACTCTCAATACTCCTGCCTCAGCCTCCTGAGCCACTAGAATTATAGGCATGCGCCACTGTACCTGGTTTAAGAATCTTTATTTCTATGTGGTCCTCTACATGGTGTCCCAAGCATGGTAGCTTCTTGGTAGCTGGATTTTATATGGGGCTCAGAATTCTGAAGGCACGTCTTCCAAGAAATCAAGAGCTAGGCAGAAGCTGCTTTACCTTTTTCTATCAAAGACTTGCAAGTCACAGATCACTTCTGCCTAGTTGTACATAGATTTAACTGAGATTCTGAGGAGGAAACATAGACCCCACTCCTTGATGGAGAAGTATCAATGTCATATCATAAAGAGAATATTTGGAAAACACAATCTGCCACAGGAGGCAAATATGCTAGACAAGGTAGGCCCCTACCAAACCCTAAGGAATAATTTGTCTAACTAGTTTTCCACCCCAAATTTATATCTCCTTCCTCCTATCAGAACCTGGTTAAATAACTAAACTACCCAGTCTCCCTTGCAAGTATGGTAGCCAAGTGACAAATTCTGCCCAAAGAACTAAGCTAAAGCTGGGCATAGTGGTGCACTTGTATTTTTAAAAGCACTCCCTTAACTGATTTTAACATGTAGTCAGCAACTCAGCAACTCAGGAGGCTGAGGCAGGAGGATTGCAAGTTCAGAGCCAACCTCAGCAACTTAGCAAAGCCCTGAGCAACTCAGCAAAACCCTGTCTCTCAGTAAAATATTTTTTAAAAAGGGCTGGGGATGTGGCCCCTGGGCTCAATCCTTGGTTAAAAAAAAAAAAAAAAAACTAAGCTAAGCGATCAAAGAAAACTTTTACTTTCCTAATTTCCTGATATAAGTGCTTGTCCCTTTCTGACACATAGGAATATAGCTTTCGAGGTGGTCCTAGAAAAGCCAAACAATAATGTTTGTTCACCAAGTCATAGTGATTGGTTCAGGAATGACCAGTTTGATTCAGTGCAAGAAAGAGTGACTCCCTAATATGGAAGTTACCAAAGTCATGCTTTCTTTTCCCACATATGTGACAATAGGGAGTATCCACAGTCACTTAGATTTCATGATGGAATGCCTAGAGCTCTGTGAAACACCATAAGGAGCTTCAACTGGAAGGCAATACTATGGAGAGAGAAAGGGACCAGGAGACAGACAGAGGCCAGACTGATCTTATAGTTTTTCAGTTTCTGAATATATTAGAGTTCTCAAGAGAAACAGAACCAATGAGTGATATGTGTGTGTGTGTGTATGCCAACTGATGTCCATATCTATGTATGTATGTATGTGTATATATATATATTGAAATCCATATTTATATATTTATAGACACTATATATAGATGTGTCTATATATAAATATATATTTATAACTCTATATAGATAGATATAGATATCCAATAGGTATATAGAGAGATAAATACATAAACAAAGAGTGACCTTCTAAGAAAAGGAAAGACTCAGGGATGGGGATATAACTCAGTGGTAGATGCTTGCCTAACATGTGTAAGGCTCTGGATTTGATCCCCAGTACTACAAAAAGGAAAAGAAAAGAAAAAAAAAATAGAAAGACTTATGACTGAAAAATCTAGCCTCCCTTTTCTCAGTTAGGTTAGCCAGTTTTCTTAAATTGAGTTCCTGTCACTCTCTATTGAAGGAGCCTAGATTACTACACATCACTAACATTTGCACATCAACCATAACCTTCAATACTAAGAGTAATATAAAATTTCAGGTATTGTTGCAAGAGAACAGGAAAAACATTTAAGAGTATAGAATCTTCCAGACATCTAAATCAATAGTTCTAAAATCTGACTGCACGTTAAAATCAGTTAAGGGAGTGCTTTTAAAATACAAATATCTAGGCACTTCTCAGGATGATCTGATTCAGAAAGTCTATGGTAGGGCCAAAGAATTTGTATTAATTAGTAAGTTTCCTTGGTGATTCTTTTTTAATAAATATTTATTTTTTAGTTGTAGTTGTACACAATATGCTGAGCCATAATCCCAGCCCCTCCTTGTTGATTCTAATGCAGTTAATTCAAGAATTGGCTTTCAGTAAACACTAACCCAGCAGGTTGCCAATTCCATCCATAAGAACAGTTTTTGCTACAGTGTGAATTTCTGGGTCTCTATAGAGAAAACTTGCGTGGCTGAAATAGGAATGCCAGTACTTTCAGAAATTCACTCAAAAGAAATACATAAATAATTAAATTTAGCAAAACAGTCCCATAAGGCCCACCACCCATTTACCTCTTGTCCCATTTCAGCCTACATTATTCAGGAGATCCTAGATAATCATCTTTAACTTTATTCTTGTCCACAGCTTTGCCAACTAAATTGTTAATTGTCTGGGTCACATGATGTGACTCTACATAGCATCTGGTAACTCAGCATTTTGCCAACTGCGATAGACTTCGTTCAAATGTGCTAATAGCTACTGGTGAGAACATCAAATTGAACCCCACTACGCTGAGAACCAAAGAAAAATACAGGAAACCCAGTCACAACTTTTTAACTAATTGATTACTGTCAGGCTTTAGCTGATCAATTTTGTGGTTGGGTGGATTTTTTTTTCTTTTGTTACCAGAGATTGAACTCAGGGGCACTCGACCACTGAGCCACATCCCCAGCCCTATTTTGTATTTTATTTAGAGACAGGGACTCACTGAGTTGCTTAGCACCTCACTTTTGCTGAGGCTGGCTTTGAACTCATGATCCTCCTGCCTTAGCCTCCCAACCTGCAGAAATTACAGGCTCGTCCATTGCACCAGGTGGTTGGGTGGATTATGAAAGAAAATCTTCAAGACGTCTCCTTCAGAAATATTTGGAATTGGGGTTCCTAAATATGGATCTTTTTTTAATCTTTATTTTATTCATTTATTTTTATATGGTGCTAAGGATCGAACCCAGAGTCTTGCACGTGCGAGGCGAGCACTCTACCACTGGGCCACAACCCCAGCCCCCAAATATGGATCTTATATATAATGATTACAAAGATTTTTTGTGTGTGTGCTCTGTCAGTCAAATGTATTCTTTTTCCATTAGAAGTATCTCTCTCTCATTTCTAGGTATCTGTAGTTTGTTGATAACTGAAATGACTTTTTTTCCAGGAACTTATTTCTTATTTAAAGAAAAGCTATTTTATTGTTATCATAAGATAAAGCCTCTTATTAATTATAAATAAGGTT